GCATTTCGCCTACGGCAGGTTCAAACGATCTTCAGAAGACGGAATTAGATAAAGCAGCCTCGTCTTCCTTCGTCCTCAGATATCGACTGGCGTAAGCCTCCACTTTCAAAAATTAATTCTTTATTAAATTAGAGGTAAAAAATTGTTTCAGTTCAAGTCGTCCTCGAGAAAAACGCATTTGTTTCTCTTCTACTCACGTATATCCTTTAATTGCTAGCCCACTCTGAACAGATATTGAAGGTGACAAAAAAACGATCAGTCGTCCGATTTCCTCAAAGCAGTGTTTAAAGCATTTTCTTCCTCAGGGTTGGCAATTATCACCAACATCTCGATTTTCGCACGTCTGTTCGCTGTTCGTCGTCGTCATCGTCATCGGTAATATACACTGTCTCGAGTCGCTCTCTCGTAATTAGTCTCGAGGTTTCAGATTTCAATTGCAAAAACCTCGGTCGAACAAAACCTCAGAGACTCGGCGTGAAGAGCCCTAATGACAATGCACTTTCAGCCGAGCGCGCAGCCCTGTGCAGTACGTCGATACTAAAGAGTCATTGTCTCGCTTTCCACCCACTCATCTGAACGGCGCTTGAACGACAACTCTGCTTTTCGCCTCATACGCTTACGCATTGGCAACTTTAAGTCTCCTGAGAGTTTGGACAGCGAATCCGCAATGATGACACCAGTTCGTTCCGGTGACATTTCTGTCTGACATATCGAACCCAGAAGGGGCGAAAATGACAGTATGACCAACGGCAGACTCTTGATTATCAAATCATAACTCAACTAACTGACGACCTTTGTTGATGCAGTATGACTATGAACGAGCACATGTTTCGCAAACTGCGTATGCATACATTTATTTATCGACTGGTATGTCGAACTTTACGTCTGCCGAGAATTTTTATTTTGCGCGTCCGAAACAGAACTAGAACTGATTGAGACGCCCGTTCTTTCCAGTAACGTTCCTGCCTGACAATCTTTGATGACGCATGGGGACACAACTACAGTGTGGCGAGCAGCAAACCTCACACTCTGTATATCGAGTCATCACTTATGCATCGAATAACTACATCGCGAACTGGATCGAATAGTCAGTTGTAAAGTGGATCACTAACATACGCACGCATTAGAGAACATCACCCATTACCATACCTCATTTTGGTATGTCACCCTGTTCCTGCTGTGTCTCAGCTTGTTAGGCCGAAGGAACGTTGGCAAATTTCTTGCTCAGAGAAGTAGGGGGTCTCAGAAGAGACAGATGTTTCTTTCTTTGGGATTCAAACCTTGCATTTACAGCGTCTCAATTTAACAAAATCGAAAAGAGACCGTGGGGATGGATAGAATTCAGGTAAAACGGCGATCACATGCAGCATGGTTTCTTTATGGCACAGCAACTGCTACCCGGAGTTACGCTCTGCGCTTCGAACATACAGCAATGCTAGAGACCCTGAAACGGTTCCAGGCAGATGTAAATAAGCTTAAACGTGCGCAGTTGTGATTGAAATGTGAAGTAGATCTGCTGATCTCATGAAGCAGATGATTGAATTTGCGTAATTAGCTGGATAACTTTTATTAATCACCATTGAGTGGAAAATAATTGCTCCTCTCAGCATCAGATCTTGAAAAGGAAAAACATCTCATTCGTTTCAATAGTCTACTAATGACTCGCTCAGGCTCAGAGTGATGCATCACCTTGATTCGATAAACAGTAGGAATTAACAATGAGTGAAGCCGGTGAATTTTCAATAACTTGTATGCTAAATATCAAAATGTAATATTAACCATGATAAGGACGAAGCATTACAATCTTTATCTGTCCTGACGATGATAAATTAAAAGAGTAAAACTTTGTTGCACGACCCCCAACCTTCTAACAATCTGACATGGGAGACCCCCAGAAACAAGACGGATTGCGTGATGGTTTCAGAATTACAGACGTAGGCTTTTCTCTCACCACATTAATGTGGTATGCCTGAGGACTTGCTTTCCTTCGGGAACGGATATCCGGTGTACTTGCAGTTTATTAATGTTCAAATGAAAGAGAAAGGAATTTTTCATATTTCGAGTCAGTGTTCACGAGTGAGGACAAGCTTGGCCAAAACTGACACTTGGAATAGGTCAAAGGGGCGTAATGATACGTCATCTAAACGTCTCTGTAGTGCTGACGATTAAATGGAGCGGTAATCCGATGATATCGATTTAAAGTCGATCGACATACCTAAGCTAACTTATGGACGTCGCAGCGGGTGTTTACCCAAACAATGCTATCTCAAATACGAGCTTAAAGAAGGGGTTCCTTCAAAGGATTGCAGATGTGAAAGAACTTGACAAGCTTCAAAATTGTCACTTGGCGCGTCCTCGTCTATAAGTAATTTTCCCCATTCATTAGTACATCCGAAATAGATACTCACAGGGTAGACTCTGTTAGCAATGGGGCATGACCAAGGGTGTCATTGGCAGACGGTTTCGGATTGTTGACAGCCTTGGCATACAGCTTGCTGAATTTTACAATTGTCGAATGGGAGAAACCATTGAAGAAAACCTATCTGACCTCTACTGTGGAATGTAAAAACGTAGTAGGCTGTGAAAATGACCGGATGGAAATCTATTTTTAGCAAGGATGGGTTCGTCGTTACCGCTTGGATGTGCGGAGGAACCGCCGGAGAAAACGTGACTGTTCGATAACTCATCAACGAAACCTTTTAGCCGGCCAAACCTCACAGAGTCGTCATATGAAACTCTGATCGACTCGGTAAAGAGCAAACGGTTGTTTTGCCGAAGACGCATGGCGAGATTAGACAGCAGTGAAAACCGTTTTCCAAGATCCACTCCATCGAATAAAATGGAAAGCACAAACAAAAAGATGGCCCTCGGTTCCCTGCACGCAGCTCGAATCGCAAGACTAATGCATGGACTTCATCAGTGACAGATTGGCATCCAAGAGACTGAGACTGGAAATTCCGAATTGAAACTGAAAGACCATGGCTTAGATTGGACGATGAACTAAACGAGAAATATGTGGATGCTTGTGGCGAAGCTTCACAGGGGACAGACAAGCATGAGGAATGAGATCAGTCAATGATGACCCCCGTTAATTGCGAAAAAGCATCAGTCAATTGCTGCTGTTTTTCCATATATCGATACTGACTGCCATTATTCGTCAATCAAAGTCTCGGTTCTAGCTAAGTTTAATCATGTAGAGTGAACCGTTTGTGCAAAGCTTGATTTATGGTCAGAAATATCTGAGACCTCCTACCGCAAGTGGAGATGGATTAGTTAATCAACATGTTTTATGTGCCGCATACGCTTAGTACAGTTAAACCTAGCCCATAATATTTGCATTGTACGAATAACGGTAACCGGTGACAAGACACGGTTTTCTGTCCGTATGCTTTGCACATCAAGCTTATTAGCTGTTTTGATATTACTCTTATATATTGATCAGTGCTGCGTTTGCTTGAGGTAAATATTTCAAGCCTTTGGGTTTCTGTTTGTAATCACAAGTCTTCATCTTCATCTTCATCTTCCATCGCCGCTTCTCCTTTCGGGTCGCGGAGGCAGACGCGTCAGAC